CTTGTTGCTCTGGTCGATACTTTGCACCTTCATAATAAAACCACATTAATTATTGTTTTTCAACAATTTGCATCCGTACAATACGACCACTCCAACTTGTTTAGATTGTAAAGAAACTTGTCAAGGTTCAATCTTGTGTTTACTCTTATATTCCTGGACTAACCAGTACTGGTGTCACATAATAATTATTTCCCCAATAGGAAACAACATCCAGGATAACTGTATTATACAGCTTTCTTACAACTGATTTACGTACATATATATTTGTATATGATAACTAAAACCTCAATGTTGTTTTACAATTTCATTTTTATTAAATATATGAAGTATAATATATTATCTACATTTATGTATAGAACATTAATTTATGAAATATAAGATTACTGTAAACATATCATACTTGCAATCAGTACCGACAGTATGATTACTATAATATACATGTATATAACAAAATGTACTTTTACATATTCATCTCCCTTTACTAAATAATATGTAAAATAGTAATAAAGAAATATCTCAATTCTTATATTTCCTAAACCTTGTAAAAAGGTCAAATCTGTTGTAGATATCAGATTGATGAAAATAAGAAATAAAATGATAGCATTTCTGATGTATAATGGGTCTTTAACCAACAATTGATCAACTTTTAAAAACATCATTATAAATTTTCATCATTACATGTCAATATAAGTCTTCAAATAGTTTTACAACAGCCTCTCTTCTATTGCAAATAAGTTGCAATGACCTTGAATGCCATTTTGTCAGAAGGATAATATAATATTTCATGTTCAAACATCATACAGACTTAAAGGCCCATTATGCCTCAGAAATCTTTTCTTTTTTTTTTAAACTTTGTTTTTAGTATTTTTTTAGTTTAAAAAAAAATACTCATTTGTCATAAAATTGATCGAGCTGCTTTGTTGGCAATTGTAGTATATTATTATTTTGTATGCAAGCAAAACTACTACTTTTGTTTACATTTTGTTCACTTTAGGACATATAACTGCACATTCAGCGCTACTTTCCCCAGCTATTTTAAAAAATCTATCATGTTCTTAAAATCATTATTAAACACATGTTTGACATTTCTAAAGAATTGTATAACAAGATTGCATTTGAGAAAAATGCTATGCCACCGCATGGTTCAAATTTCATAGCTGTACATCAAAGGACAAGAAAGTAGGTCACATCATCAAAATCTAGGTCACCTGATATCAAAGTTCAATTTTACAACTAAAACTGTGCACATGGTCAAAATGTCATTGCTGCACATCAAAGGACAAGAAAGTAGGTCACTGTCCCCTTGGGCAAGGCATAATTTTGACCCAATGGTTTAATTCAAAACAATTTTGATACAGGTCCACCAAACAACATTTCATGTCAAATATCTAAGCTATACCTTTCTCCCATTCAGAAAACATTTGTTTTATTTTCTGTTTTTACTATGTGTACATATATAATGAGAATCACTGCCCCCGGGCAGGGCCAATTTTGACACCAGGGGAAAATTTTGAACAACTTTGGTAGAGGACCTATAAATGATATTATATATCAAACATCAAAGCTCTATGCCTTGTACCTTCAGACAAAAATATTTTTTATTTTTTCACTATATGTACATAATGAAAATCAATGACCCCCGGGGGGGAACCAATTTTGACCCCAGGGCTATAATTTGAACAATCTTGCCAGAGGTTCACTACACAATGTTTCATGCAAAATATCTTAACTCTAGCCTTTGTAAATTTAGAGAAGATGATTTTTTAAGTTTGTACTATATACATATAAGGAAAACCTATGGCCACCAGGGGGCGGGGCTAATTTTGACACAAGAGGCAAAATTTGAATAACTTTTGTAGAGTACCTTCAGATGATATAATTTAACAAATATAAAAGCTCTAAGCCTTGTACCTTCAGGCAATAAGATTTATTTATTTTTTACTATATGTATATATTGAAATCAATGACCCCAAGGGCGGGGGCAATTTTGACCCCAGGGCTATAATTTGAACAATCTTGCTAGAGGTTTACTACACAATGTTTCATGCAAAATATCTAACCTCTAGCATTTGTCAATTGCTGGAAGAATTTTTTTTGAAGTTTTTACTATAAGTTTTTACTATATACATATAAGGAAAACCAATGACCCCCAGGGCGGGGCCGATTTTGACCCCAGGGCTATAATTTGAACAATCTGGGTAGAGGTCTACCAGACAATGCCTTACGCAAAATATATAAGCTCTAGGCCTTTTGGGTCTTTACAAGAAGGTGTTTTAAGTTTTTTACTATATGTACATATAGTGAAAATCAATGACCCCGGGGCGGGGCCGATTTTGACCCAAGGGCTATAATTTGAACAATCTTAGTAAGGGTCTACCAGAAGATGCCTTATGCAAAATATCTAAGCTCTAGGCCTTTTGGGTTTTTACAAGAAGATATTTTAAGTTTTTACTATATGTACATAGTGAAAATCAATGACCCTCTGGGCGGGGCCAATTTTGACCCCAGGGCTATAATTTGAACAATCTTGTTAGAGGTCTACCAGACAATGCCTTATGCAAAATATCTAAACTCTAGGCCTTTTGGGTCTTTACAAGAAGATTTTTTAAATTTATTCTTATAATTCCTTTTGGTTGCCATGGCAACCAGATTTCTGCATGGAATGAAATTCTTTGAACAACTTTGGAAGCCCTTCACCCAAGGAACAATCCTGCCAAGTTTGGTTGAAATTGGACTAGTGGTTTTTCACAAGAAGATTTTTTAAGTTCACTATATAATCTATATAACACACACACAAACACACACACAAACACACACACAAACACACGCACACACACACAGGTGAATCGCTATATGCCACCGCATCGCAGATGCTGCGGTGGCATAAAAACAGATTTCTGAGGCATAATGTGCCTTTAAAGGTATGCTCTGCATGAAAATTTAGTATAAACTGTTACAAAGGTAAATAACTACAAAATTTTCACATATACATTGTACCTCAATCAGATATTTAGAACTACCAAATACGTTTCATGTAGATACATTCAATTGTGTATGAGTTGTGTCCCGGCAATAAATGAAATATGGACATTTACAAATCTTAATGGTAAATTCCACTAAGAAAACTTTATACATGTTTACAAAATCATAAAAGTAACAAGACAGCCATGATGACCCTAATGAACATATTGAATACATATACATAATACACAAATACTTATCTTTGTAAATTATACAAAATCATACTAAGAAAACTATATACATATATACACAGAAAAACATGTCTTAAAGTAACAAGAAGGCCATGATGACCCTAATTTGTCATATTTCACGTCATACTGTAGCATGACAATATCCCATCCTTCTGGATGTATCCTTATTGTGTTACCTGAATGTATGTTTATTACATAGGTAAGTAATATATATGTTGTTTTCTGATCACTGAATATAAATCATGTACATGCATACAAACATACTAGTTTGACAATGAGATACACAGTACCTCAAACACACAAAAAAAGTATTTAGATCTTATAGATAACTATAAACATCTGTATATACTTAACTGGAAAAAAAACAACATCAAATCTGACTAGAACATGGATAAGCAATACATTAATATACATTTATTATGTACAAATATACAGATCACCCTATAACTTTAGCATTACATCACTTAAGCACACATCTACTAAAAGTTTAAGATACTTTTTTCACCTCTCTTTATTAAACCAAGAATGCATTTGTATAGTTTTAAAAATTCCTTAAAGACTTGAAAGTTAATATGGTTTATTATATAAAAACTGTTCGCTATTATAGGCCGAAAGCATCGGATATATTAAATAATAGCCAATTTATCTAGGTCATATAACTTGTTGAGTCATCACAACTAATGTTATAATTTTTATCTTAAAATAGAATGGTCTGGAAACACGCTATGTAAATCCTTCTCGCCAAAATTTAAGATGTCTTGGTATAACTCAGTACAGTTTTCTATAAGCAAATTATGTAAGTGTTCAAGAAAAGGGCAACACTTAAATACAGGAGCAAACATGAAAATTCTGGCAACATGATGTGCTTTAAAAATCTTTAAACATGTGAAAGAAAGATAAATATTTTAGAAAATAATGTGATAAAGCCATGCATGATCTATTGAAAAACAGAATATTTGCGAACAAACGGCGCCATTTTGAAAATGCATCAAATTTAACATCAAATATTTGTAAATGACATTGTGAAATATTATAAAATCTTTACATATGATTAAATAGCATTTTTTCTTTGTAAAATAATTTTCTATATTGCAATTGAACAGTGCATAATTAAAAAAGTTTTTTTCAAATATAAGCAGTAGATTTTTGACCTTGACATGATTGAATGAAAAAAATCTCAATTCCCATTGCAAATCTATAGAATTGTTACTTTTTAAAGTAAAAACTGATACTGTAATATAGCCAAATTTAGTTTTCAGTTATCTTTTATCAATTTATCTTATAACTATATTTTGAACATTGATGCACTATGCCAGATCACAGTTTGTAGATTTCCTAATTTTATTTCATGAATATAATAAACTATTACTTTTCAAAGAAAAAAACTGATAATCGTGTAGCCAAAATTAGTTTTCAGTGATCTTTTATCTCTTTTTAATGTTGTTATATTGCAACTTTAAAAATTCCTTTCCCTTTTTGTAAGCGTAAAAAGTAGTAAATCAACAAACTTAAACTCATCAAAATTATTATGGTTCATATAATATAATGATTTTTTTTTCAAAGCTTTGTCATTGGGTTTAAGTGATATTTTCCCTTTTTTCACTCTAAAATAGGGGAAAACAACAAAATTTAAAATTTTAAATTAAAACCCAAAAAAAAAATTTTATTTTTTTACTTTCTTTAAAGTAAAATTGGTCCTAGAATGGAAGAATCTTAATACCTTAAATAAACTTTTTTTAAAATTCCCTGTAGTTAGAAAATTTCTTTGATATTTTAAAAGCAAACCACAAAAAAATTGTATGTGGGTGTTGTAGGTATGTGTTAGATCCGATACGGTATATAAATATATAACATATAATAAAGTTTTTTAGAACAAAATGTTATAATTCAACATATATTGTGCCCATACTAAATCATTTTAGAACTCAGGGTAAACTTTTCCAAAATCTATCAAAAATGCACATATCTTATTGTCTAATTGTGGTCTTGTTATCAACACTTATGGAAAATGTGCACATTGTAGACCAATCCACTTTAATTACAAATGTTTTTTACAAGTTTTATTTGTGTTTTCTAAAGGTATGAGAGTAGTTCAAGTTTTCAGAAGGATATTTTTAAATATTTGACAGCGGCCTTGGTAAGAACTTTCTTTACAGATGTAAATTCTCCTTGAAGAAAACAAGTTTAAGTACAAACGATGCAATACTTTGCTGGTCTGTCTTTGTTTCAGCAAGGAACTAGAAGATTGTACAAGGTATTGGTGATGCACTGTTTTTAAACAATTTTCTTTTGGATATGTTTCTGTAAAGCCAGGAACCAGGTGTTAAGTATAATTCATATTGGACTCTAGTAGAAGCATAATCATCATTGTCGTTGTAGATTTACTTGAGCTGATTTTCTGAAGAAAAAAAGTATAAAGAATAAATGTGAAAATCGAAATATAACAGTGTAGATTGCAGGATTTATTAAGTTTTATAATATATTTTATGTGTTTTATGATTCACACACAGTTAAGGTGAACCTAAGTAAATGCAAATCATAAAATTCCATACGCATAAGTAACTAAGTAGTTTATTTATTATAGTGGCATGTGTGAACATTTTTTATAAATCAAATTATATAACATATATAATACATCTAGCCCAATCGCCTATAAGTCTCCTTCATTTGTAAAAATAGTTGCAATAAAGTGATAGAAATATAATATATTGAAATTGCCCTTTATTATATGGATCATTATAAGTCCTCGAACTGACATATGAGTAGAACCACAGACCTTCTGTAAGCAAATTGAATTGAATAAAACATCTTCCACCGGACAGCTTATTTCAGAAATGACTTATTTAAGCATATTAGCTGGAATTTAAGTAGAATTACGGACCATCTGTAAGCAAACTGAATTGAATAATTTAGGCACAACCTGATATCACTGATAAGAGTTAGCCAACTTAATTGAATAATATAGGCATGAGCTGACAAGTTCAGAGGGGAACCTCGGGCTTTCCGTGAAGGAACTTAATTGAAAAATACACCTTCCCCAAGCCAGCTGAATTGAATTTTTTAAGCATAAGCTGGTAATTCCAAGTAGAACCACAAACCTCTGTAAGCCAAACTGAATTTAATCATTTAGGCAAGAGCTAACATCTTAGTTAAGAACCACAGCCTTCTGTCAGTAATATGAATTAAACTATTTGACAAAAGCTGATATTTGGTTTAGAGGCACGAGCTGATATACGAGTACAACCGACTAACCGGAGTACAGCTGGCCAACTGAGTAAAAATATGGGCATGCGATGACATCACAGTATAAACCTCAGGCCTGCTGAAAGCCATCTGGGCATAATAGCCGACATCTGAGTAGAACCAATGCCTGTTGTAAGCTAAATTAATTTAACTATTTGGCCTAAGCTGATATCCGAGTAGAACCACGGACCTTTCGTAAGATAACTATAGTAACAAACTTTGCTTAAGAGGTATTAAACTCAGATGGTATTGAAACTCGGCTTACAATACATGATAACCGCCGTATGAACACATCTGCGGATGTTTCTAAATTCCAAATTTTACTATATCATGTTTAAATGTTGAATTCTGCTTAAGCCGGTGCTAGGGGGCGTGGACGGTAACTTGCACTTTCCAGTACCGTCCATGAACAGGCTCAATCAAACCGAGCCTGCAACATTTTCAATTTTGCCGTGTTGGGCTTTCTTTAGGGATTCTCTATTATTTATTTTACAAACTTGGTGTAAAATTTTAATATTTTTCAACATTTCCCTAAAAATCATGTTCATGATTTGGCTGAATGAAGCAATTGTCCATTGATATTTTATTTCACTATTTTTATTGGTCATTATTGATCTGTCAATCATAAAAATAATTTAGACTTACCTTGCCAACAAAGGAACATGGTATTTTTATTGCTCAAAATAATCTGTAACTACACAAATCCATATTGTAAAATGTCACAAGAGATTCTGCATCACAACAATTTTGATCCATGGCCGCTGAAACGAGAAATAAGACACAAGATTAACGCATAATAAGTATCTTATTAATGAGGAAATTTTGCAGAACAATGTCTTATTCTAATCTAGTTAAATGTTTGTGAACAAGAGGGTCATGATGAACCTTATGTCGCTCACCTGATTATAAAGGCTCTAACTGACATGGAGCAATAAATTTTGTAATTTATGAATGAAAAGCAGATTCTTATCTTAAACTGATAATTATCGCAAAGATCATATTTGCATCTGAAATATTGTACTTTTAAGATAAAAGTCACCGTATGGCGGGACCTGTAACACTCAGCTTTTTCTCTCTTTTTTTTTGCTATGAAAATCAATGGTTGCTAAGTAAAGTCAAAATTTGTTAGGTTGCTATGAAAAATCAATGGTTGCTATGGAATGTCAATTGCTGCTATGAAAGTCACTTGTTGTTATGGAATGTTAATGGTTGCTTTTAAAAACCGTGGTTGCTATGGAAAGTAAATGGTTGTTATCTATGTCATTATTTGCTATAGAAGTTAAATTTGTTTTGTTTGTTTGGATTTTACGGCACGTCAACACATAAATGGCCATATCGTGCGAATATAGAAGTTAAAGGGACTCCACTGAGGTTTAAAAGCCTTAAAAACATAACATTTGAATTTCTTACATAAATCAGAAGGGTACTTTGAACAGACATATATGCAAAGATAGCAAAGAAATTTACTTGGAAATAAATTCAAAATCGTATTTTATGCTTTTCTTAGCCCGATTTGAGTGAGAATCATTTAAAGGCTATTCATTTCAGGTCATTTTTTACAATATGAATAATTATTCTGGTGAATGATCTTGAATTTTGCACAAAGATTTGTGGTCTAAACGTACATTAAATGGTACATTTATCTGGAAAAAATATTTCCAGACCAATCATGTCAAAAAAACCTCAGTGGAGTCCCTTTAATGGTTGCTAAGTATTAAAATAGCATTGATTGTTTGGAAAGGTTAATTAACATTTAGAATCTAAGGAAAATCCATGACTATTTGGGTGCACAGAAGCTTGGGGGTCAGATCCTTAGCCCCCAACGTGATACACCCCTGTAAACAATCTATCAAAAATATTTTATTATTTAAACACAAATGGGACATCTGCTTCAACGATACAACTGGTTTTCAAACAATTTTTACATATCTGAAAAAATTACCTATTACCATCAAGTCTCAATAAAGTAAATTTATTGAGTTGGGTGGGGCCAATATCGACCATGCAGTGATTCTATACATTTGTAATTTGAACTTGCTAGAATTCACAAGACAATAGTTTATACGAATAGTTCAGATGGTTTTATAGAAGTTGATCATTTTCGTCTTAACTATAAAAATGCATATGTATTATAAAAGTTATAATACCCTGGGGGCTGGTTCATTTGAGACCTTCGGGACTACAATTTGAAACAAGAGCACCGCTAGGCGTAGCATTATAATTTATGCCCGAAAGTGTTTTTTTTTTTTTTTTAGTAAGGATGAAGCATTTGTAAGAATTATTACATAAATTAAATAAAGTATTACCTCCTTCAAATAGCAATCCTCCTATAAAGTTTAAATATTGTAGGCCAAATGGAACATAAGTTATGCTCTAGAAACTGTTTTGAGGTAATATAGAAATTGAGTTATGTTCTGGAAACTGTTTTCAGTTTTAAAGTAATAGTGACCTTGACCTTGTGACCCCAAAATCAATAGGGGTCTTCTACCCAATATGGACAATCATCCTGTGAAGATTAAATATTGTGGGCCAAATAGACCTTAAGTCATGCTCCAGAAACTGTTTTCAGTTTTAAAGTAATGACCTTGACCTTTGACCTTGTGACCCCAAAATAATTAGGGGTCTTCTACCCAATATGGACAATCATCCTATGAAGTTTGAATATTGTGGGCCCCATGGAACATAAGTTATGCTCCGGAAACTGTTTTCAGTTTTAAAGTTATAATGACCTTGACCTTTGACCTTGTGATCCCAAAATCAATCAGGGTCTTCTACCCAATATGGACAATCATCCTATGAAGTTTGAACACTGTGGGCCAAACGGAACTTAAGTTATGCTCCAGAAACTGTTTTCAGTTTTAAGGCGATAGTGACCTTGACCTTTGACCTTTTGACCCCAAATTAATTAGGGGTCTTCTACCCAATATGGACAACCATCCTATGAAGTTTGAATATTGTGGGCCATATGGAACTTAAGTTATGCTCCGGAAACCAAATTACTAACGGACGGACGTACCAACTTTTGATATTTATGAGGCAAATCAGCTCATAAACAACGTCCATAAGCAAAATTAGCTCATAAAAACAAAAAAATAGCTCTTAATTTGAATTTTATGAGTTTTTGTTCTTTATTTAACTACGGAATGAAGCTCATAAATATCAAATGTTTGCTCAGACAGACGGACGGATAGACAGACAGACGGACGCCATGGGGTATAACATAATATGCCTGAAATTCTTTCGGGCATATAAAAACTTAATAGTGGTCCACAAAACTAAATTTCATTCAGAATATCTATTAGCTAAATAGCCTTTATGATTTTAGAGAATTATTTTTATTTGGTTTTAATACATACAAATAAAGACAATCTATCTCCCCTGGCAAACTAGGGAAATTTTGCACCCCCCCCCCCCCCCAAGCTATAATTTATTTATAATAAACTTGTTTGAGGAGCACTGGACAATGTTTCATGTAAAACACCTAAACTTCAAGGCCCTTAAGATTTTTAAAGTTTTATGCGTAAATCAAAAATCCATGACCCCCCCCCCCCGTCTTTTATAAAAATTTAACAAACTTGATTGATTCTTGACAAATATTTAAGATTAAACCTTCATTGTATAAGGGAACAATATCTAAAATTTTACCAATATACATTTAAGAAATATTTAAGACCCCCCCTCCCATGTGCAAACAATTTGACCCAAGGACTTTAATAATTTAAACATATTTCGTACAGGTAAACTAAAGACAATGTCTTATGCAAAATACCTTAGCTTAAGTATTCAATTTTATTGAGTAAGAAAAGATGACTTTTTAATTATGAAAAAATTATCCCCCCCCCAACCAGGCTGGGTCAGTTTAGACCCTAGGGCTAACTATATGGTTTAAAGGAAACTGGTTGACAGGTCAGCATCTAATGTTATTAAAAGGAGACGCTTAATTAATCAATAATTAAAAGAGTCTGGGCATTTAACGTTACAAAAAGATAAAAATCTAACGAGAACAATTTAATCTTTCCGAAAATAAGAAAAAAAAGAACAATCTTATTTTTTAAATTAATAAAATGTATAGGAGATAACAGAGAGTTAATTAATAACCTGTGTTCACCTATGTATATATATATAGCCTATGTTTAAAAAATACTTTATTTTGATAAAATAATATCGATTTTGGGAAAAAAATCACGGTAGATCCTAAATATTAATTAAAAAGTTGATTTATTTAAATCAAATATATTTTCAAGTAAAAGTTAATATAAGAGTATTGTTCACTGTTAATAATCCATTTCAGTTCTTACATACTGTATGCATCTAAAACAAAAAAAAACAACAAAAAAACAAAACAAAACAAAAATCTATATAAAATCACTTACCTGTCAAATATTGCCATATCTTAATCCAACTTTTATATCCATTGAATTCCGTAAAAACTTCCTTGAATTATTTCTATTAATAATTATATGTATTTATTTATAAACAAGTGTCACTTAAATTATTAATTGAAAACGAAAGTACATGTACATGTATGTCCTAGCTAATCAAAGTTTGAAGATCCGCCATTTTGTTTCTAAGTGTCCATCTATATATTGTTTTGTTTATTTAAAATCATTGAAATAATATAATTAGGTTTATTTCACAATGTTTTTCCGTGTCTATCCTTTGCTTGGTTTTATTGTTTTGAACTCAAATAAATGCTCTTCATCTTCTTCTTGTATCACATGAAAAGTTTGTGATCTCCGAATATTTTCTCTAACACGGTCATATTCTGTTTCCGGTTTAATGTCTGTCATCTCTACTGTAACTGACTGCGGCAGATTTTCTAGCACGATAATAAAGTTCTGTAAACTTCCTGCAGACATTTTTATATCCTCCAAATCCACACGTTCAATATTCAACATGTCACGTGACAGTAACAATGAACTTTCATCTAGATTGATACTCCACAACGTAACATTAACTAATGACGGTGTTGATATATTTAATTGTAGCCTCCCAGGTAACGTCGACAAGTCTAACTTTGATAGAGTTGAATGTTGAGACAAGTCCAAGTTCCATCTCTTACAATCATGGCGGCCATGTTCTTTACAGACTAACATATACAAAGTTAACTCTTTCATTGATTTTTGACCGGAGATAAAATTGAAAATTGTTTCCAGTATTTTGTGAGATAACGTGAAGCCGCCAATATTTAAGTATTGTAAGTTTTGACATCGCGCCATGTTTTCATTTAGATTTTCTTCATCATTTGTCCATGTTCCACCAAACAAAGTAACGTACTGTAAACTGGGAAACAATATCCGACTTATTTTAGCCTCCTTCTCCCTGTCACCATAATAGAGAAGTTTCTGTATATGACTGAGATCTGTGAGAGAGAATAAATCTATAATTTCACGTAAACTGCTGGAAGTATCTCTGATGTCTATATAAAGTGATTTTATGTTGGTTTTATTTTGTTTTAATAAACGTTGTAACTGCGCATTGAGCACCTCCGTGTCCCCGTCAATGAAGAAATCTTGTAAACATAATTGAATATTTTCACGTTCAGGCATTTCTTGTAAACACGACATGAACATTTTCTGTATGTTATACAATGAGTCACTGTAATGTATCCTAGTTCTATAGTCGCGTGTTTTCTCGTCTTCATTTATCACAGACATCAAATCATTTGATATTGCACACATCAGGTCAGCATTCATTTTACTTATAAATTCACAAATTTTTGACATGTCCAGAATGTCTTGAACATTTCTACATTTTTCTACAACAATTTTCTGAGCGTCACTTTGAGAACTTATAAATATGGCGGCAAAGAATTCTTGCACTGTTTTGTGAGAAAACGATACTTTACTAAACTTTTTTCTCGCTGTTTTAGATGTACTTTCTGACAACATTCCTGAGTGAAGGGTGAATTCCATCATGTCTTGTGTGAGATATTTTCTAGCAATTGATCCATCAAATACCAGCGTGTTTTCTTTTGTTTCATTGAATAATGTATAATAAGCTAATTTCCCTATATGCATCAGGAGTGAGTAGTATTTCGTACAGTTATCATATTCAGCAAAGCATTCTGGGATGTCACTGGAAGAAAGTTCCGGCGATTGTTGAAGCTCCCCGTGGATCTGAATCGTTCTCGATAAAAGAAGTTCGACTATATTTATATAAAGATCACATTTTGAATCTCCTATTTGAACACCCTCGCACCATAAACAGGTTGTATATATTAAAAGTAGAGGCACAAAGGCAAGCTCGTCGTTTTCTCCCTTATTGATTGTTTCCATGAACTGTGTGACGTCACTATCTAATGCATCTTTATTCAGGTGAGACTTCCATCTTTGTATTATTCTCCTTGTAAGTGTATCTGCCGAGTCTTTACTTAGTTTTGTAAGTTCTACTTTTTTACCCATTTCCCAGGAGTTAAGGTTCATAACTCCTAATTTCCATGGTCGCGTGGTGGTCAGTATTGTACACTTCTTTTGGTCATTCCTGTGGGGGATCGATCGGGGCGATCTGTAACATTTCTTGTCGGGGTGACTCCATTCATCTAGTCCATCAAGTATAATTAGACATTTCTCATTCTTCAAAATTTTAAGCAAGATATCTTTGGAAAGCGTTTCTTCTAGACCCAAATTTGAAACAATCTTTTCAAATATGAGCTCATCTATAGAACACAAATCGTCCGAATCTCGCAATAAGACAAGGAATAAGTAATCAAATTCTTTCATACAGTCTATATCATCTTTTGACAAAAGTTCATTTAAGTCTTTATCCGGGCAATGAGCTTGACACCACACATTAGCTAGATACTTTGAAAATGCAGTTTTTCCGAGACCAGCATCAGCGAGTACATATATTTCTCGATTTTCCGTTTTGTCAAATTTGAATATCTCCGATAACGATTTGACTGTTATTTTGTCATCATTTCTCGTCGATGTTGAGAGTATTGAGCTCAGTTCCGGTCTGATATAGAAAGAAGCCAACGGTGTGTCTTTCTCTTCAAAAAGAGGCGACAGGAATATTTTACTGTGTCTTGTTTTGTAGAATTCAAAGAGACCATCTTTAACTTCTGAAATATATAATAAAAACACACGTATAAATACTAATGAAATTGAAATTAATTCAAAGAACAGATGATAAATGAAAACTGTATAAATATTTTAAGGTACTTATTTGTTACGAAATAAAAATCCTCAATGAGTGTATAAATTTAAGCTTTGCATCAATGTACTTATTGAAATGACCAAGCAATTCTAATCATTACAAATATTTTAACCAAATTTAGACTCATAATAGACTGTCAATTTACAATCTGGAGATAGAAAAAGGAAGGCACGATAATATTCCAAGAGAAAAAGAAAATGTCGAAATTGTCCACTAAATTTGTTTCTACAACATAATATGAGCCGTGTTATGACAAAACCAACATAATGGGTTTGCGACCAGCATGGATCCAGACCAGCCTGCGCATCTGCACAGTCTGATCAGGAACCACGCTGTTTGCTATCAGTTTATCTACTTGTAATAGGGTTTGTAAGCGAACAGCATGGGTCCTGATCAGACTGCGCGTAAGCGCAGGCTGGTCTGGATTCATGCTGGTCGCAAACCCAAAATGTTGGTTTTGTTGTGACGCGGCTCAATTTTAATTTCTCATTAATATGCAATAGATAGATGTTTTTTAAACCACATTTTGTAGATGGACTGCAATGTAGAAATTCGAAACACTAATGACAATGACAAATATCAAAACAAATAAAAATCTACTTGTTACAAACAATGTCACGGATTTGAACCGTTTTTCAATTAAACAATATTGGCGCAACATGCTAATTAAAACATTTGTGACTATCAGTAATATAATTATTTTTCTTTTAAATAAATAGAAAAAAGTCAAAATATGTTTCATTTCGTTTAAAGATATAATCTACCAGTGCTGACTTTGTACCAAGAAAGTGCTGTTCATATTCATTTAAGTGACAGAACTTATAAATCGAAAATTTTGTTCTGGTCAATCTTTTAAGTGAATTGGGCAATAGTCTTTATAAAGCCCTTAGCACTAAGTTCAAATGCAATAATGTCTACAATTTCATTTTGAACAATTTTACACTTAGTACCGAATAAATTTATATAAATTTATAAAGATGATTTGAGCTGCGTCATGACAAAACCAACGTAATGCGTTTGCGACCAACATGGATACAGACCAGCCTGCGCATCCGCGCAGTGTGTGATCAGGATCCATTCTGTTCGCTTATCAACCCTATTACAAGTAGCGAAACTGATAGCGAACAACATGGATCCTGATTAGACTGCGCGGATGCGCAGGCTGGTCAGGATCCATGCTGGTCGCAAACCCACTATGTTGGTTTTGTCATGACACGGCTCATTTGTTTTATATAACATGATAACAGTGTATTTATTCTCAACGATATTCTACATAAAGAGGACAATCACAGATTGAGTCGCTCACCTGAAAACCATTGCAATGTTTATACAAATTCCAAAATTTAGTTTGATTTATAATGAATGGACATACGTAGCAACTTCGATCAAATGGATAAGATTTGAACAATCACGACTTGTGACAATAAAGCCAAAAATAAAAATATGTACTTTCTATACTAAAAAAAAATTGTAATAATTTATACACTTAACAATTGACGTACACTTTGAATGGATCAAGTTGGTTTATTATGAAACACTTAATAACTTTGTTTGTCAAACATTAATCAAATGTTACGCACCTTTATATACATGTATAACAAATCAGTGGAGGAAAATAAATTATTGAATTCTCTTTTTCATGTCTTCATATCACTGCTGCATGTACACAGCCACAGGGGGCCCACACAGTGTTTGGATGGTATATACTGCTTGATAGTGACCTTAAAATGAGATTTTAGTCATAACCTTATAATATGTATATAAATATGGACAAGGGGCATTACTCGCTAAATAGAGCATTTTCGATCACCCTCAAATTCATGCGAGATTTTCCACTAATTAAATAAAAAAATTCCAAAAACTATAATGCGTTACATAGCTAATATAATCCACAATTGATAAACACTAACTCTATTCTGATTCCCTTAGCCCATTTTAAGAAATTTATTCAAAACCGTTCACTTCTGTCACAAAATTGCTTAGTCGTACGAGATGTCGCAACACCAAATTCCACGGGTAAAATATCAATTTTAAAAGGGGTAGGTACAAATAAACGCATGCAAACAATAACACAACATTAATTCTATTACCTACCTGCGCAAATAGTCGTGAAGCGCTCTATATTCGTCTTTTTCGAACGAAATCTTCAAATCAGTGCAGAAATCTGCTTCGGCGAATACATGTTGGAAATTCTGGTCATGGTGTATGGAAACCTTTCATTGGTTGTCGTTATAAACTAAGTTCCTACCGAACCAATGAAAGGTCTCGATACACCGGCTGGTCACGTGACCGGGGTTTCCCCAAGATGTCTACGTCGAAGCAGATTTCTGCTCTGATTTGAAGATTTCGTTCGAAACAGAATATAGAGCGCTTCACGACTATTTGCGCAGGTAGGTAATAGAAACTATGTTGTTTTATTGTTTGCATGCGTTTATTTGTACCTACCCCTTTTAAAATTGATATTTTACCCGTGGAATTTGGTGTTGCGACATCTCGTACGACTAAGCAATTTTGTGACAGAAGTGGACGGTTTTGAATAAATTTCTTAAAATGGGCTAAGGGAATCAGAATAGAGTTAGTGTTTATCAATTGTGGATTATATTAGCTATGCAACGCAGTATAGTTTTTGGAATTTTTTTATTTAATTAGTGGAAAAATCTCGCATGAATTTGAGGGTGATCGAAAATTCTCTATTTAGCGAGTAATGCCCCTTGTCTATATTTATATACATATTATAAGGTTATGACTAAAATCTCATTTTAAGGTCACTATCAAGCAGTATATACCATCCAAACACTGTGTGGGCCCCCTGTGTACACAGCAGTGAAAGGTAATTTAAAGGATAGAAAATAATACTGACAATGTCACAGGGGGCCCACACAGTGTTTGTATGGTATATACTGCTTGATAGTGACCTTAAAATGAGATTTTAGTCATAACCTTATAATATGTATATAAATATGGACAAGGGGCATTACTCAGTAAATAGAGAATTTTCGATCACCCACATGTGCGATTTTCCTCTAATTAAATCAAACATTTCCACAAACTAAACTGTGTTGCATAGCTTATTCAATCCTCAATTGAGAAACACTAACTCTATTCTGATTCCCTTAGCCCACTTTCAGAAACTTAATTCAAACTGATAACTTCTGTCATAAAATTGCTTATGAGGTGTTGCAAGACCAAAGTCTACGGGTAAAATATTAATTTTGAAAGGGGAAGGACAAATAAACGCATGCAAACTATAACACAACATAGTTTCTATTACCTACCTGCGCAAATAGTCGTGAAGCGCTCTATATTCTGTTTCGAACGAAATCTTCAAATCAGAGCAGAAATCTGCTTCGACGTAGACATCTTGGGGAAACCCCGGTCACGTGACCAGCCGGTGTATCGAGACCTTTCATTGGTTCGGTAGGAACTTAGTTTATAACGACAACCAATGAAAGGTTTCCATACACCATGACCAGAATTCCCAACATGTATTCGCCGAAGCAGATTTCTGCACTGATTTGAAGATTTCGTTCGAAAAAGACGAATATAGAGCGCTTCACGACTATTTGCGCAGGTAGGTAATAGAATTAATGTTGTGTTATTGTTTGCATGCGTTTATTTGTACCTACCCCTTTTAAAATTGATATTTTACCCGTGGAATTTGGTGTTGCGACATCTCGTACGACTAAGCAATTTTGTGACAGAAGTGAACGGTTTTGAATAAATTTCTTAAAATGGGCTAAGGGAATCAGAATAGAGGTAGTGTTTATCAATTGTGGATTATATTAGCTATGCAACGCAGTATAGTTTTTGGATTTTTTTTATTTAATTAGTGGAAAATCTCGCATGAATTTGAGGGTGATCGAAAATTCTCTATTTAGCGAGTAATGCCCCTTGTCTATATTTATATACATATTATAAGGTTATGACTAAAATCTCATTTTAAGGTCACTATCAAGCAGTATATACCATCCAAACACTGTGTGGGCCCCCTGTGGACAATGTTTTAGTGTACGATTTAATACACAGACACTTGGGAGTCAGACCCAGATTTAAGGGGTCCCGATCTGTCCCCACGAGTGTCTGTCTATGATGATATCAATGGTCAATGTCTCACTCTATGGGAATAGTGTATTTTAGGGCTAACATTTGGGCAAAATGCGACACAATTTCCCTGCTTAAGGAATATATTTTCTTGCTATTTCTTTAAAGGTACTCCACTGAGGTACGGCCGAATGTCACAAAAAATGTAAAATTTCACGAACCGATATTTTTTGTTACCTGCGAGTTAGGGACATTCAAACAGAATCAGTGATACATTGATATGTGTTCTTTGGATTGGCAAGTCGTTTGAAATACATATTTTCTCCAATTTTGTGGGAAAAGCGTTTAAACACCTTTCAGTTTGCAAATCTGAATAAAAACAACGGTCACGTGATGATTCTCGGGATGACTAAAAAGCGAAACGGAGAATTTTTTTGTGTATCGGCAGCAACGAAAGTGCGAAACCGGAATATACCAACAATCCATAAATTTAAAAGCAAATAATGGGTTTGTTTGTTAAATTTCTTGTTGTTCACATATGTTCTTGTGAGAAAAATCTTTCAAAAGCAATTTCAATATATTTAAAGCATTACATTGTTTGTAATCATGTTTTTTTCTCCATTACAATGATGAATTTAGCTAAACGTACAGTACGGAGTTCGAAACTGACATACACAAATTTTACAAATATTCTATGTTAATTTGAGAGCTTTCGTGTAATTATTAAATATTATGTATTAACTTTGTAATGGTTAAAATATCATGATATCTAGGCTAAGAAAATTTACTTTGTCAATCAGTGTAATGGGTCCTATTTCAAAGGTCACTTTGGTTTATCTGACAACCGTTCAGGAAAAAAAACTTCGTAATACCTTTTATACAACGAACATGAATTTGAGTATTGTAAGCATAAAAAATCAGACGCACACACAGAATGTTATTCCAGAATTTTCTCTTTAACTCTGATCAAAGCACTGAAAGCACTGGCTAAATAGAGAATGAATCCGGCCTCATTATAGGACATTTAGGCTTCAACTTTATTAGATAATATTTCTAATACATGTCTAGTGCACATAATTAAAATTCTTTAAGAAAAAACCGATCTCCTTTGCTAGATAGATCTGAAATTTAATATTTATCATTTTACATACATACTTGCATATTTATCCGCATTGGATGTAAACTTTGTTGATGAAAAGATTACTATGTTTTTGATCTAGACATTCAAAACTATAGGTAATTGATACCTGTTTCATGCACATGGTAAACA